AAAAAGAAATTAAAATGAAATAAAAGAAGCCAAATGATATTATATAAACTCCTTTTAAAAATGATAACTGGACCTCTAAATCAGAGTTTAGTAAATTATGGCTTATCTGCCAGCCACCTTTTTTTGTACAGCCTATAAGGTAAGAATGTCTTTTACAGTTTTAAAATTTTTAAATGAATAGCAAAATAACATTTTATGATATATGGATATTATATAAAAGTGAAGTTTCAGTATCCATAAACAAACTTGAATTGGTACACAGCCTCACTCTATGTTTATGTATTGCCAGTGGCTGCTTTTATGCTCTGAGAAAATAGTTAAGTAATTGTGACAGAAATCATATGGGGCAATCTCATTGCTTTATTGTGCTTCTCAATGTACCACAAATTGCAATGATGCACTTACAATAATTTGACAACATTTTGAGTGATATGCATATTGTCATACCATGACATTTTATTCTTTCATAACCAGTGCATGCCAATCATGTCAAAACAAGAAAGGGAAAAAAAAAAGATAAATCTGGACTTAGTGCTTTTAAAGCAGAGTGGAGTGTGGATTATTTTGTTATCAAATTTGATGGCAAAGCACTGTTTTTATTATACAATGATACTATAACTGTGCAACAAAACATGTCAAATTTACCAGACTAAATACTCATTACATTATTTCTAAGAAAACAGCAGCCACAAAATTTGGGAAACTTTAAAGGAATATCTCAAATTATATCACAACAAAATTTCTTCACAAAATAAAAAATGGAAGTGATTCTGCAACCAAAATAAATTTCTTAGTAGCTCATTTATTTGTAAAGCAAGGAAAGCCATTCACTGATAGTAAGTTAATTAAATCATGCTTTTATCCAGGAAAAAAAATAAACTGACTTAAGACTATTAGTCTTTAAACAAAAATGGTTGCTCAAAGAGTTGAGGACATAGGATCAGTACAATAATTATAAAATAAGGCAGGTGACTATGAGATTTTCTTGGTTAGAGATGAGTCAACAGAAGTTACTGCTCAGTTGTGTTTTATTTGAGGAACAAATGCTGAATTTAAAGTAACTAAAAAATTAGCCCCAGTAAATAGTCTTTTAAAACAACTATGGGCAAGAATATTTTCAAAGATATTAAGAAAACACTAATGTAATACAACCTTAAGTGAAACATACTAAGATGTGATATAACGGTGGTAAAAATATATATGAATCAGAAAGACAAATTTACAAAGTTTATGAAAATATATGGTTATTAATTTTTTATTCATCAGCAGACACTTTGAAGAAAATATTAGAACCTATTTTATGTGTTTTTTAAAAATATTTATTGAAATATAATTTACATACCCTGCAATTCACCCATTTAAAGTACACAATTCAGTGTGCTTTATAATTTTTAAATTTTTGCATATTCATAGAATTTTCAAGTATCACTACAATCCAATTATTTCAACACTTTTCCCTTCTAAAAGAAACTTTATATGCATTACCCCTCCCTACCTATTCCCGAACCCTAAGAAACCACTAATCTACTTTCTGTCTCTACAAATTTGACTATTCTTTTTCAAGATTGTTTTGGCCACTCTAAGTGTCTGAGTCTCTTGCATTTCCATATAAAGTTTAAAGGATAAGCATATAGTTCAGTGGTAGAGTACTTACCTAGCACATGTGAAGTCCTAGATTCAATCTCTAGCACCACAAAAAAGAAAGAACATTTAAGATCACTTTGGTATTTTCTGAAAATATCATGTATTTTTGATCCATTAGATTTAATAGTGAACATCATGCTTCTGAACTCAACCATTATTAGCTCCTTGAATATTTTCATAAACAAAAGTTGGAAAGTGCGGGAGTGTAGCTCAGTGATAGAGCATGCACTTAACATGTATGAGGTCCTGGGTTCAGTCCCCCAGTCCCTCCCCCTCAATTTGAATAGACATAGAAAAATACTCTCACTTTCCCTACTACATATCATTTCAATGGCTTAATAGTGACAGAGTCTTTATTGCATGTATTTGAGTTCAGGGCAAAGACTAAAATTTTTGAGAATGAGAACTGCCCTTGGTCACTCATGGAACACTAAATTACTTTGAAAATTAACTTTTGTTATAGACTTGATAATGTTTCTTAAATGAATTTATTAAGAAATTATAATCAAAATTGCATGACAAAACACTTATATGCAAAGTGTATACTGAGGTTAATTCATTTCAGTAACAATTTGTGTCTCAAAAATGTCAAACTGGGCTGGGGTTGTGGCTCAGTGGTACCAGCACTTGCCTAGCATGTATGAGGCCTTGGGTTCGATCCTCAGCACCACATAAATATAAATAAATAAAGGTATTGTGTCCATCTACAACTAAAAAAAAATATTTAAAAAAATGTCAAACTGCCTTATACACTTCTCCTATTGCCAAAGTTAAAAGAAGAAAGCTTTATTCTCTCTTATATTTGCAATTGATATATTTTCAAGTTCGAATTATAGTTCCAGCACTGTCTTTCAAACTTCAAAGCAAATGCAAAGAAAATTTCTATATTTCAAGTCATTTTACTAAGTAATTAAGGAGCTTCCCTCTAACTTTTAATTAGAAGTATTAATCTGTAAGATAATGATACTGAAAGGCATATATCAAGAGAAGAATTTAAAAGAGTTTTATAATGGTCTTCTAAGAGATAAATATGTTCACTTAAAATTTTAAACTCATATCGAGAAGTAACGATCTCCTGGTAATGGTTTTAAAATATTGCAAATACATTTTTAAAAAATCATTGAATACACACTTTTAAATGGTTAAGAGGGTGAATTTTATTTATGTAAATTTTATCTCAATTAACAAAATTGTAAGCTCATAGATTAATATCAACATATTCCAGAACCTATCAGTGTGGATAACATCTTCAAAAATGAAATATGCAAAAGCTCATTACAGGTCAGCCTTAAAAGATGAGCATTTACAATTGATTTTTATGATAGCAAAACAATTTGGAACCCAAATTAAGCAAAATGTTATTTTTTAAAATTCCGCTTTTTTATATATTTATTTTTTAGTTGTAGTTGAACACAATATCTTGATTTCACTTATTTATTTTTGTGTGGTGCTGAGGATCGAACCCAGTGCCTCACGCATGCCAGGTGAGCGCACTACTACTTGAGCCACATCCCCAGCCCCTAAAACTCTGCTCTTTACATTAGTAAATTTGTCTTATAAAAAAGTCCTATTCAATTATTACATTTTGAATTTTGTGAAAATTTATTTCCTCTCTTGTATAAACTGATATGTTATATTCATATTTGTCCCTTGGCTTGCAATGCCCACAATATTTATTATGTAAGTCCTTTACAGATATAGTTTGTCAACTAATTATATTTACTGGGAAGAAAGTTTGCATCTATGGAATGCTTTTAACAGTATATCCTTGGTTTAGGATTGCTGGTGGCAATTAGGCTTTCAAATACATTAATAGTATAGAATCAGTTTGGAATTTGGATTTATCCCTCCCTCTAGAATGTCATGCAAGCTATTCAACTCTGAAATATAAAATGAATATATGCTATGACTTCAGCACTCCCCATTGTATGAGATGACCCTCATTGAAGTCTCACTAAGTAGTCTGGACCACAGAGTTGATGCATGATATGAGAAGGAAGAACTAGATGTACTAGACCTCTACAGCAGGATGTACTAGACCTCTCCCTACTTTACCTGTATGTGTTTATTGCTTATAACTTTGAAATTATTAGTAAAGCTCAATATTGGGTAAGATCTCTAATGTTTGTGAGTCAGATTTGGCAGTTCCTATGTGTAAGCTCACATACTATTAATGTATTTGAAAGCCTAAGAAAAGTTTCCAAAAAAGAATCACAGCAATTTTGGCAAGACATCCAAACATTATTTTTACTCTTGGGATAGAGTGTGGTGATTTTCATTTAAAAGAAGCATATTTTCTAATATAATTACTCAGTATAATTTATTTGTTGTTACTGTTATTGTTGTTTCTTGTACTGGCACTTAACCACTAAGCCACACCCGAGGCCTTTTTTATATTCTATTAGAGACAGGTTCTCACTGAATTGCTTAGTGCCTCACTAAGTTGCTGAGGCTGGCTTTGAACTCATGATCCTCCTGCCTCTCAACCTCCTAGCTGCTGGGATTACAGGTTTGTGCCACTATGCCTGGCTACTCAGTATAGTTTGGTAAGAAGCAAAATGTTATCTTTTGCGCGACAGTCCACATATTTCTTGAAGATGTCTAAGCTCAGTCCCTTTCATAGTTAAATTTTTTTTGAATGTAAAGTCTTTTAAAAAATTCATTTATTTATATGTGTTGCTGAGAATCGAACACAGTGCCTCATACATGTGAGGCAAGCTCTGCACCACTGAGCCCCAACCTCAGCCCTATAGGTAAATTTTTATCATTTATACTTAAATGTTTAGCTCATGAAAACACACCAATACATTCAAGTACAAAGGATTTCAGACCCAAGGTACTGCATCATTTGTACATATCAAAATTCAAATAATTTCAACCCTAATGTTACAATTCTTTAGTTCCCTCTCAAGACTTCATGATTTTCTGTTAAAAACAACAAAAACTTCTAAGTAATTTTTATTGTTCTCCCTGGAATATTTAGGTCTTTGGTCCTGGTGAGTTCTGCTGTTAAAATATATAACTTCAGCTGTCTCGGTGATACTATTTATATAAATTTATAATGTTTATAATTTTTCAGACTTCTCATTTTTAGACTTTTTGTCAGACAAAAAAATACAAAAATGAAAAAATGTTTACACTATTTGATTTTGTGACAGCTTTCTGCAAATCATATCGTGAACACCCTTGTGATGATAATGAAATTGAATTTCTGAATCAAATGAAAAAGTGTACTAATTGTCAGTGAAAGAAAGAACTCTAGGAAGCATTTAGTAATAGTTTGCCTGAGAGAGTAGTGCCATCGTGAAGCAGAGTTGTAAACATATTGTGTTCCTTTTTTTGTTTTTGTTTTTAAGGAAAATCATTAACTTTGGGGCCTCATCCAGAGTAGCATCGTCTACATGGGCATTCCTTCCTCCTACTGTTTCAGAAAACCTTTGATAACTAATTGAGAAAATGCAGAAGATCTTGCAGACAGATGAAATTACCAATATCCAAGCTTTTAGAAAAGGAAAGAGGAAAAGGACAGAGACAATGGACTCAGAAAATCCAAATAGTGACATGGAAAAAGGACAGGTTGGTTCTCTCTTACCTTGATTCAATTTTATTAAGTAGCTCAACCATAATTCCTTAATTTATCAGTTCTTTCTTCTGTTCTACTAATTTATTCTTCCTTTAAATTCTGTATTCAGTCAAGGGAATGTAGTGTCATGTTCTCCTCTCAATCTTAGATAGGAAGAGTTAGAAACATTTGATAATCAATAAGCCTGCCTCTGTTTAATTATGGCCAAATATGCCATTGTTAAAACTTTGCTTAAAATTCTGGGAAATTAAAAGTCAGCAAACTGTCAGAAAACATTTTTTCCTTTCACAAATATATTGGAGAAATTGGAATACCTCTTTCTTCCCGAATCCCAACGCCACCGCCCCCACCCCCACCCCCGCCTGATACTAGAGATTGAACCCAGGGATGCTCTACCACTGAGATATATCCCTAGAACTTTTTTTCTTCTTCCCCTTCCTTTCCTTCTCCTCCTTCTTCCTCTTCCCTATTCCTCTTCTCCTCCTCCCTTTCTCCCTCCCCCTTCCCCTTTTCCTTCTCCTCCTCTTCCTCCTATTTTAGGACAGAGTCTCACTAAATTGCTGAGGCTGTCCTCAAACTTGTGACTCTCCTGCCTCAGGCTCCTGCGCCAGTGTACCTAGCTGGAATGCCTCTTCTTTAAGACACACTATTTGCTTTTCTTTTTAGATTTCAATTCGTGGCCCATCCTCATCATCCCATTCCCCTCCTGTAAAGTTTGGACAGTCAATCAATGTGCTTATTCTGTATTTTTTTATTTGTCACTATAATACATGTATTTGTGTATGACTTTGTAATACATGCAGTTGCTGCAGTCCGGCTGCAGCAAACTAACGGGGTGCGGGGGGGGGGGAGGGATGAAGAACTTGTGTACATTGATACAGCAGGAGTGGGAGCCATTTATTGTAGGACAGGAGGGATATATATACATTACACACAGCTTATCTTAATTAACATAAACTAGATACAGCAGTCAACCAATAAGGAATCTCCACACTTAATGGCTCTCTGGCGTTACTTCACAAACCACTCCCTCTGCAAAATGCCAGGCGCCATCTTGACTTGTTTACAGACCCTAACATGCAGTGTTTTATATTCATATATTTTTACTTAATTTGTTAAATAAATACTCCATTATTATGGTTTAAAATATTTTTAAAGACAATGAAAAATCCTTATATTCCTGTCTCCTATTCACTCTGTTCATGCCCGAACCCCATCCCCACTACAGTAACCACGTGTATTGCTTTCTTGTTTATCCTTCTTGCATTTCTTTGTTCAAATAAAGCAAATATAAATAGATATTCTTATCTCTCTTTGGGTCAAAAAAGGAACATACCATATATACTGCTTTGTACTTTGCTTTATTACTTAATATATTTTGAAGCTCTTTCCATTAATAGATAGCTCTATTCCACCGTCTGTGTGCACCAATCTTTATTAGTCCCCTGTGATGAATGGGGTTCTTTCTAATCTTTTTCTTAATGTGATCTACAATGCACTATATAAACTTATATATACATCATTTAGTAGTACATTGATATCATATTATAACTCTTAATTTGTTTCTGATTTTTCCATCAGTATTGCTTTATAAAAATAATTTTTATTTATAAAATTTCAGGTATACAACATGTTGTTATGGGATACATCTAAAAAATAAAAAGGTTACTGAGTAAAACGAATTAACACTACCATCATTTCATAGAATTATTCATTTTAGTTTGTTTTTAGGACAAAAGCAGCTAAAATCTGCTCATTTAGCATGAATCTCAAATATAGTAGTTTTATTACCTATAGTCCTCATGTTATACATCAGATCTCTAGACTTGTTCAGATCTGTATCCTCTGGTCTAATCTCCTAATTTCCTAATCTCTATTCTTCCTGCCACTGAAGGGATTACTGTTTGTTCTCTGTCACTGGTTTTGTTTGCTTGTTTGTTTTGTTTTAGACTGCAGATGTAAGCAATACTATGTAGTATTTTTTATTTCTGTGTCTGGCTTATTTCACTTAACATAATGTCCTTCGGGCTCATATATGTTGTGGCAAATAGCAAGATCTCATTTAAAAAAAATTTTTTAGATGTTGATAGACCTTTATTTCATTCAGTTATTTATATGTGGTACTGAAAATTGAACCCAATGCCTCACACATGCTAGGCATGCACTCTACCACTGAGCCACAACCCCAGCAACCCCCCAATCTCCTTATTTTTAAAGGCTGAATTGCATACATATACATATATACTGTGTACATACATATATACATGCATTATAAAAATATATACATGCATTATACATATATACATGCATATATACATATATGTATGTCTGCATTATGTATATAAATTATGGCACATACTTATAAGTATGGTACATGTATGTAAATAAACTATGGTACACTTATATATACAAATACACATGTGTATATATGTATGTGCCATATATAATAATAATATATATATGTATATATATATATATATATATATATATATATATATATATATACATACTTAATCCATTCATCCATTGATGGACACTTAGGTTCTTTTCATAGCAATATTTTTAGCATCTATCTATATTGCTACATGTACATCTCATCCATTGCATCTAACAGCTGCATGGTACCATTTTTTATTTATCCTTTTCTCCAATGATGACCACTTAAATTTTCCCTAGCATCAATAAAATAATCCTCATACATGTCCCTTTAAGAAACAGTGTGGGGCTGGGGTTGCAGCTCAGTGGTAGGGCATTTTGCCTAGTATGTGTGAGGCACAGGGTTAGATTCTTATCACCATATATAAGTAAATAAATGAAATAAAGGTCCATCACCAAGTTAAAAAAATTGTTTTTAAAAGAGATTGTGAAAATTTCTATGGGGTAAATACATAGGAGGATGATTATGGTTTACATATGTATTTCTAGTTCGTTTGACTAAATATTATAAAATTGCTTTTTAGAATGTTCACATCAGTCTACATGCCCAGCAGTAATGCATAATGGGTTCCTATATTTATATTTCCCTACTAACATTTAGCATTAATATCCATTTTTCTAATTTTTAACAAATGAATCAGTGAAAATATTGTTATAATTTACTAGTGCAGATTTGGGGGAACTCAGGGTTGCTGGAGGGGTAAAATAGTCACATGCTCTTATAAGCCAGTTATGTGGTTTTGTCAGCAATTTTTTTCCTCAAAAACCATAGCTTTCCAAACTACATATTTCTATTTGATTTCATTGCAGTTCACTATAGCCAGAGCTCTTATTTGGTCATAGATTTTAGGCCTGAAAACGCTCTTCTTTTAAGGCATCTTTTCTCGTCTTTTCTTTCCGATTTATGACAGTTACCTCACAGCCATCTGAAACAAACAAACAAAAAATCTTGAAGGTAACACCTTGAATTTAAAGCTTTTTACTGGGCTGGATACCACTGTCTGCCAGAGAACATATAAAGACAAGCTCCTGAGAAAGCCTTGAGGTTACAGTCTTATCTCCTGCTATTTAGATATGGAAGTAAAAATTTTCCCCAAACCCTTGAAGATTTAACATTGCCAAACTCAGTTAATTTAGACTATCTGCTGCACATTTTTTATGTGCTTGCAAGCTAGCTAGCTCTGACATGAAGTATCTGAAACACACCACAGCTCTTTTTCCAGGCTCTCTAGGCATGTGGTTTGACTTCAAAAGTATTCCAGGTGACCATTTTACCACAAATGTCACCAAGGTCTAACAAAGTCAGTGGCTTTCCAGCATGCCACACCCTCACCCTTTTTGCCCAGCACTTGAACTTTAATTATTTTAAACATATTTCAAGTTTTAGGTATTCCTACTTCTGTGTACCCATTATGGATTAGTTGTGATATGTGTTACAAAGACTGTAACAAAGACCCCAATAACAATATATAAAATAGAAGTTTATTATTATACAATAGTGAGAGCAGTCTGGGGCTGAAACGGCAGCTCCACAATAATGAAAATCCCTCTTACCTTGTTTATCTACCTTCCTCAACTTGCAGCCTCTGCATCTAATATGACTACTCTCACTTTCAGATCCTCTTTTTCTCTCAGAAGAAAGAGAATCAGCAGGGGAAGACATGCTCATTTTCTTAGGGTTATGGACCAGAAGTGGCGCACATAGCTTCTGCTCCTATTCTGTTGGCAGGAGCATAGACAGTCAGGTAGAACCCTGTTACCAGAGAAAAAATGGGACAAAAGATACATATAGCTAGTAGTTTCTACCACTGTCCATTTTTCTGTTGGGTTTTTGTCTTTTCTTTTGGGTTTCTTGGTCTATTCTGGTAGGTTTTTTATCCCACTCTTAATATAAATATTTTATCTATTGTAGAAATTAGCCTACTGTGATTTAGGTTTGAGATTTACAAATATCTTCTCCCAGTTTCTATTTGTGTATTAACAGTTATCTTCTTCCTTCCATTGGTACTTACAAATGGATTTACTTTGACCTGATTCCTTTTCTTTCTAATACTTGCTGGCGAGAACAAGACCATACATTCTATTTTTTTCCAATTATCATGCATAGAATTAGGGTCTCAATAGGTATCCTTCAATTTTTGAAAAATCTTTCATTTATATTTAATTAAATACATCACTTTTTCTCTTAGGATTTATACATCTTATGTGAGTACATTAGCTATTTGCCCACAAAGAATAGTAATTTACATTATTACTATTACATATATATCCACTACTGTTATATATATTATATGTACAATACACATGCAAGCATTTGTACAATAATAAAATATATATGCATATACTGATATTTGTTTATAAAATAAAGGTTGAATATACATATCATAAATCATACAAAAGTGCAAATGAATTTTTCTCTAACTGATCTCATCTGGCTTTTAATTATCCATTCCTGAATCATCATCATCATCATCACCCTACAATTTGTGTTCTAGTCTTTAAAAGTCCCTTTTAGTCATTATCTCAGTCACTTTAGGATTTAAGCTTCAATCAGTCC